GCCTGGTGATAGGTATTAAAGAGGGCATGTTCTGCGTGGAGCACTGGGTGTTATGCACAAACAATGAATCATGGAACACTACATCAAGAACAAATGATGTAATGTATGGTGATTAACATAACAATAAAAAAAAGATTATATGAGGTTAAATGCTTTCTTAGGGAACTTGAAGGTCTAAAAGAATCAGGGCAATGAAAATGAAAACTCAGTCTTTGCGAAATTTGGTGAAAGTGAAAGATGAGACAGAAAAACATTCTGAGTTCTCATTTTCATAATCACATAATCAATTTAACTTTCCTCATATTGATGGTCTCTGCCTTTACTAAGTTATGTAGAATAGTAAACATAGACATAGATTTATTAACTATTTCCACATCTTTGGCAGGGGAGTTTAACTGATTATGACTCAGAGACTCCAAACATTTTTTTTGATTGAGCATGCCTCCGTTTGAAAAAAAAAAAAAAAAGATTAAGAATGAGAAATACATGTACATTTATGTATTTAGAAATCATACATAAATATTATTTTAGAATTATTATTTTTACACTGTCTTTCTGCAACCTATTGGATAGTCACTCACCTCTGATACAGGTGCAATTTATTCTGGAGAACTTTGACTAAGATAATCTTCACACAGAGCTGAATCTTGGGAGGTTTCGGACCAGTCCTTTTGCCATCTGAAAACAAAAACCTACACCAAATCATCTCCCAGTAGAGTTATGTAATTGCCTTCTTACCCCAAAGGAAACTTTAGAAAAGATTCTTTAGTTCTCTTGCTCCTGTATGACTCCCAAATATTTTTTTGAGTTCTGTGTTAGTTTCGCTTTGCTGATATAGCAAATTCCACAAACACAGCCGCTTGAACAACACAAATTTATGGTCTCAGAGTTCTGTGGGTTAGAAGTCTGACATGATCTCACGGGGGTAAATCAAGGGTGTGGGGGGGGTGGTTTGTGTTGCTTTCTGAGTGCTTTGTGGGAGCGCCCGTCCCTAACTTTGCGTCTTCCAGCCCACATTCCTTGGTTCTAGGCCCTCATCCTCTACCTTCAGCCAGAGGTGTTCTATCTCTCTGACCGAATCTAGAAAATGTTCTCCACTTTTAAGGACTCGTGATTAAGTTGAGCCCTCCAGATAATGCAGGAGAATTTCTTCATCTCAAGGTGTGCAATCTTCTTCCCATCCGCCATCCCTTTTACCATGTAAGCTACCAGATTGAGAGGTTCTGGGGATTCGAACACGCACAGCTTTGGGGGCTGTTACTCTGCCTTTCACAGGTTCTCAGTAACAATGAATTTTCTCATAGAAATTAGTAAATTTCACAAGAAGTGATGTTGGCATTAGAAGTAAATGCAGTCCTTTAAGAGTCTGACACCGACTAAGTGACCAACTGCACGTGTGATGTGCGGTTTTCCTCTCATGTTCCTCCAAGTAACAGCCAGAACGCTTTCTATATAAATCGTCTGCTTTTTACTGCTCATGTGACGTTGTTGAAACAAAGTATCACAGTTAAATCCTTCTGCAGTGAGTTTACTTCAGTTTTATTAGAAACTTCTTTTCAGGGCATTTTTGTTGTTGTTGTTCTAAGAAAGGGAAAATAGAGATTGATTATAAGATTTAAAAAAATTTTTTTAAGATTTATTTATTTTAGAGAGAGAGAGTGCACGTGTGAGCATGGGGAGGAGCAGAGGGAGAAGGACAAGAAGACTCCCTGCTGAGCAGCAAACCCAACAAGGGGCTCGATCCCAGAACCCTGAGATCATGACCTGAGCTGAAACCAAGTGTCCCACGCTTAACCGACTGAGCCACCCAGGTGCCCCCCATATAAGATAATTTTTTAAATGAAATGTATATAACCTGTAGCTCAAAGAAAGGTCAAGACTTAAAGATGCTCTAGGGATTCCCCATATCCAGTGGTCCATGTGAATATCCAGCACTGTTCTTGCATTTGCCCCAAACTCCATCTTCTGATTTTTTGAACCTGAAAGACTGCCTGCTTTCTATAGGAATTTTACCTGCACAACAATGACTGTTGGCTGCCCTCAGGTTAAAAACCAACTCAACAAACAAATTAAAAAAAAAAAAAAAAGGAAAGCACCATACCCCGTGCTAGTTGTAATTTGCAGGGGGATTATTCTGTTAGGGATTTAGCCCTGCCAGAGGGAGCTCCCATTCATGCACAGTTTTAACAACTGTCAATTTCTTCTCTATGCCCCATTACCAACGCTGGGTCTCTCCCTCCTCCCTGCCTCTCTGTCTCTGTCTCTCTCTCTCTCTCTCTCTCTCTCACACACACACACACACACATTTGTATTTCTTAAAACATCAGCCAGGTGTGGGTGGTCATTAACTACACAGTTTTTTCTGTCGTATGTATATCTCTCTGATATGAGTGAGTATAAACCAGATCCAATGTCTTCATACAGGATTAGCTGGCCTTTGACACATGTAAAAATGACAACCTGACTCTTTATTGAATAATTCAGAACAGCTTCTACCCTGAAGATCATGGGGATTCCCCCATGAAACCACTATTCCTTCTCTGCTTCTAAGAATCCCTTTCGCTTCACAAGAAACAATGATGAAAGAGCAGGCAGATTGAGATCTATGCTATTTTGATTTCTAAAGAGAATATTTGACTTCTCTCCCTTTCTCTGCAAAAATCCTGTTTGTCATTCTGTCTTTACAGAGGGGTGTGGGTGTGTGTCTTGGGTCAGTTGAGTGTGTTTATAAAAGCTCCCAGCCTTGAGAAGAACATCCCGTTCCTGGGCCTGAAGATATTGAAACATTAATTACATAATTTATAGTAGTGCTTTCTTCTACAATGTCTGAAGAAGTGACTTATGCGACACTCATATTTCAGGATTCTGTTGGAGAGAGAAATAACCGCGATAGAAATAACCTAAGGGAAAGAGGTAGGAGTTCAGACACAGCGTGATGAGACCTTGGGGAATGCACAGGTGATAAATGTTTTGGTTCAGATGCTAAAGAGAGGTATGCTGTGGAATCTCCAAAATGGAGACGGAGTTGTGGAATACGCTAGTAGAATGAGTGTTCCCAATTTTGGCCAGAAAACATGTGGCTTCCAAGACCTCTTTAAATTGTGTGATATCACTATGTCTCATGAAGCTCTGTGTTATAGTGAAACATTGGACATGAGAGAAATTGAGTTTGGGGGCTAATAGAATTCTTTTTACAAATGAAGTCCTTGATATTTATACTTTGTGAGAGATGCCAGGCGAATATTCTTTTAGTAGCCAGATTGGAGGTCACTAAAATAGAGAAAATAGAGGAAATTTTTCTTTTCAAAGGTATAAATAACTGAAGTGAGAAATGGGAGAACAAGACAGTCAGAAATAGATAAGAGAGAGTTTCTGTTTTATAAGTAGTTTGAAATTTTTTTTAGGGAGTGGAAATTCCTAGTATAATTAGTAGTGTTGAGTCAATAATAACAATATCCATATAGTATTTTATAGGCATTATATCATATTTTTATCGAAATATATTTGTGAAGTAAATGGAATAATATTAGCAAAACTGAGTCTAAAAAAATTAAACAATTTAACCAAGTTCCTACAAAGGATAGAGGCCCAAACTCAGTGCTAGTCTTTACCTCATTCCCTTATCCCCTGTTGGAAGAACTATTAATCTCTGTGGTCAGGAATCCAGTTTAGTATATCAGACTATATCCCTTATTTTCAAGAATCTGTTGACAGTTCAGGCTATTACCCCAAATCATCTAAAATATAGGAACTACTTTCTTCTTCTCTTGGATTTATTTTTACTTTAAGTGTGTGTGTGTACGTATGCACGTGTGTGCATGGTTTGGGGGTGATATACAAAGAGAATGGGAATAGGTTTGTTGTGAGTCTAATAACAGTGGTTATACATTTTTGTTTTTTTGTTTAAATTATAGCTGCAATCCTTGAGAGAAAAGGAGTCATGGGTGTGATGTATGTGATAGCGCCCCTGGAAATTTTCAATCCATCTGTCTGAAATACTGGGCTAGATGCCATTAGATCCTGAATTAAGAAATAGTGTAGGTTAGAGTGCACATTCATTTTGTCTTTCATTTCATACTCATTCATTATCTATGAGATGATAAATAGACTGGATAATAGATATAAATAGAATCCACAATAACACTTGCCTTGTGGAGGATTGTAATCTCAAAAACTTGAAGTCTCTCCTATTGTCAGGATCATCCAGAGAAGCAGTTTCTACAACATCTAGTACGTGCATTTAGTAAATTTAAAGAAGGATGTGTGATGATGTAAAACAAAAACCTGAAAATTAGGAGACACTCTTAAAGGAAAGGAGAATGGTGGGGAAGAGAAGTGGAGGAGAACTGATGGTGGGGCCCTCACCACACACCATTTTAGGTATTTTCTAGATGGTGCATTGAGGAGGTAAGAGAGAAATAAACAGTTCATGTGTAGCCATAATTCCTCTGTTGGCTTTCTTCAGGGTATCCAGCTCCTTCACCAACCTGGCGTCAGGCTGCCCTGAGTCTGCTAACTCTTTGTCTGATGCTGCTGATTGGGCTGGTGACCTTGGGGATTATGTGTAAGTATACTTTCATCAAACCCAAGAAAAGTGATTAGGAAACTCGTTTATAAACTATGTAAATTCCGGTTTGATTGTATTATGTGATCATAGCTCCTTCATTCTCCAAGTCTCTAAGATAAGCAAGCAAGGGACAGACTTGAGGATTTTGCCCTAAATCCATTTTCTCTTGATAAACTAGACTGGATTATGAAGACAACTTTTATATTCCTCTTTATTGGTTGGAATAAGGAGGTTCTTTTCTGCATAGACACACATCCACTTATTATTCCAATGGTAAGAAATAAGGAGCCAAGGGAGGTAGACTCAAGGAAGAGCATGCTGTCTCATTCACCCTGAAGACTTAGAACAAGACTGGCTTAATATACTCACTCAAGACCGTTCTAGTGTAGAAATAGCTTGTGCGCTATAAAGGAAAAAGAGATACAAACAAGGAGGAATAGTTGCTTGAGATACCTTACCCTCTAAACAGAAAGTTGAACCACCTCCACATAACAATGGAAGCTCCACTCCCAAGTACAATAGCCAAAAAAAAGTATTCTCTTGGTTCTGACCCATCACTGAGCCATCAGGGTTGAACAGGATAGGGAGTCTTGAACTAAAAATCAGTGGAAGAATATCCTAAGAATCCATACTCTGTAGGATATTGTTAACTATATGATGGACAGAGTAGTGAGTTGGCACAATATTCCCGTTTGTGGGACTTGCAGTCAAGAAAGTTTATTGTCCGAATGACACTAGCATCTTCCATGCTACTTTATTTTTACATATGTAGGATTTCATGGATAATTAGAATTTAGACATACTGATTTGGACATCTGAATAGGGCCTATTGATGTAGCTTGCTCTTTTAGAAAGAAATATGATATTCTAGCAGCAGTAACAAATATTCAATAGCCAATCATTATGAGGATTAGCAGTTGATCTTCTATAATGATGTATATTTTAAAAATGAAGATGAATGGCGCCTGGGTGGCTCAGCTGGTTAAGCATCTGCCTTTGGCTCAGGTCATGATCTCAGGGTCTTGGGGTCAAGCCCCACACATCAGTCTCCTTGCTCAGCGGGGAGTCTGTTTCTCCCTCTGCCCCTCTCCCCCCACTCGTGCTTTCTCTCTCTCTTGAAATAAATAAATAAAATCTTTAAAAAAATGAAGATGCAATGATACATATTCATTGGTTCACCATAGAAGGGTGAAGCCTTTTTTTCCTGAAATACATTGCTTTTAGTGTAATAACTCTTAAATTTATTGTGATGATGCATTGCCTGAAGTGTTAACTAAAAAAGTAGATTTTGGGCTGCCTGGGTGGCTTAGTTGGTTAAGCTTCGAACTCTTGATTTGGCTCAGGTCATGATCTCAGAGTCATGAGATCAAGCCCCACATCCAGCTCCATGTTCAGCGTGGAGTCTGCTTGAGATTTTCTCTCTCCCTCTCCCTCCGCCCTACCCCTGCTGGCACTCTCTCTCTCTTTCCAAAAAATGAATAAAATCTTTTTTTAAAAAAAAGGCAGATTTTATGGATCCAGAGCCAGAAATGGTCCAATATGGTGTTAAAATCTGCATTTAAAACAAAACCAGATATTTGGATGATTCTGATAAAAGTGGTCGGTATACCATACTTTGAGATACCCATTGCCTTAAAGGATTCTATTCCTATTAAAACAACAATTACATGAAAGCAGCTCCAAATAGAAAAAAAGAAAAGTAGTTCCACTAAATGAATGGCAAAATGCCTGGCACAGCCTTAGATTAAATGTCAAAGACATATAATTATTAATTCATTACTTTAATACAAGTGTAATCATATTTAAAATCTCAATAAAATTATGAGGATGAGCTCCAAACAATTTGGAATAGAAAGGCATCTGGTGTGTTCCTTCCATGATACTTCAATTAATTGGAAGCTACTGATAAATATTAAACAATGTGAGAAATATTTCTGTGTTAAGAATTATCTATGGCAATGATGAGAATGGGAAGATATATGAACTTATCTCCTGTTATGTCTTGGAGTTTTGCAGACATCTAATGAAATTAACTCAGATTCAGAGAAATTAAATCTACTTCAAAAAATCATCCACCAACAGCAGGATAACTTATCCGAGCAGCTGAACAGCTACAGAAACTTTCCCACCGAGGAGGAGTTTCTCAAATCACAGATCTCCAGTCTGTTGAAGAGGCAGGGACAAATGGCCATCAAACTCTGCCAGGAGCTAATCATTCACACTTCAGGTAATTGGGACCTACTGGCCAGTCAGGTGCAATTTGTTGTCCCAGTTTGCATTGATCACGTGCGCCACCTCATAGTATGAGAAAGTTGTGTTCTCCAGTGACCTCTAATGATATCACACAAAATTTATAGAAGACACGGGAAGATATCAATTTATTTAATATTTTTGAAAACACAGAGGTGAATTTGAGAAGCGTCATGGAATGATACCAACCTGGATACTTCAGCTTCTCATTTTGTGAACTATTTTTAGATGATCCTGACATTTTAAGAAACTAAAAGTATAGCTGGTAATTCTGAGACCCGTAAAGTGAGCCCTGAAGTGAGAATTTCAATCACTGTTGCTCCATCCCATAATCGGGAGTGACTTCATTTTCACAGGCTCCTAAAGCTGTATGGTTCCAGAACGCTGGGTCTCAGACCCTCTCACCAAGCTCAATCATTTAGTTTCTAAAACCTTCTCCACAGGGCGCCTGGGTGGCTCAGTTGGTTAAGCGACTGCCTTCGGCTCAGGTCACGATCCTGGAGTCCCAGGATTGAGCCCCGCATCGGGCTCCCTGCCGAGCAGGGAGTCTGCTTCTCTCTCTGACCCTCCCCCCTCTCATGTGCTCTCTCTCTCTCATTCTCTCTCTTTCAAATAAATAAAGAATCTTTAAAAAAAAAAAAAAACCTTCCCTAGTCACTCTAGCATTATTTAATTTGTACTAATGGGTGTAATTTCTTTTTCAGACCACAGATGCAATCCTTGTCCTAAGATGTGGCAGTGGTACCAAAACAGCTGCTATTATTTTGCAACAAATGAGAAGACCTGGACTGACAGTAGGAAAAACTGCATGGACAGGAACTCCACTTTGGTGAAGATAGATAGTTTGGAGGAAAAGGTCTGGTTGACTCCTTCCCTGGTTAGAGAGATTATTCATGTCGTAGAAAGTACAACAAGTGGGATGTGTGACTCACAAAGTAGGAATTCAGTACGTTCTGAAGGAGAATTAACATCTTTTTTTTTTTTTAAGATTTTATTTATTTATTTGACAGAGAGAGGGAACACAAGCAGGGGGAGTGGGAGAGGGAGAAGCAGGCTTCCCGCGGAGCAGGGAGTCTGATGCGGGGCTCGATCCCAGGACCCTGGCATCATGACCTGAGCCGAAGGTGGACGCCTAATGACTGAGCCACCCAGGCGCCCCTAACATCTTACTTCTGCACTCCAGAATGTGGCTCACACGTGACATTGTTCCCGTTCTCCCTCTCAGGATTTTCTGAAGTCACAGCCATTACCCACGTTCTCTTTCTTCTGGCTGGGCTTATCCTGGGACCCATCTGGAAGGAGCTGGCTATGGGAGGATGGCTCTGGCCCTTCTCCATCCTTGTAAGTCGCTAACTGTTGCGGGGGTGGAATCCTAAGAAAATCAATGTTAATTGACTGGAAATGGAATACTAAGAAAGTCAATGTTAATTGTAAGAATTACAAATCTAGATACAAAAAAGAGTGCAACATACAAAGAAAAGAGAGCTTCAGTAAGAAATAATGAAAGCAAGAGTACCTAATTTCGTGTATGTGACAAACTCATGGCAAGACACTGAAGCTTATCTATTGGTTAAAATTTATTTTTTTAATAATAAACAAATAATACTTACACTTACTTTGTTCGAAGTAGTGTAAAATATTAGCTCTGTGATAAAAGCACTGTTATATTCCTATTTTGTGGATGAAACAATTGTCAGAGAGAGATTAAATAATTTGCCCAAGCTCACTACCTCCTGAGTGGCAAAATCAGGACTGAGTGCTTCTGTGACCATGAGCTTGGCCTCTCAGCTCCCCTGGCTCTCCAACACTTACAGTCCCAAGGGTGGTTTATCATAAGAACATACATTAACACATTTATTTAAATTCAATAATTGTCAGCCATTTTCTAGCAGCAAGTAAGTCTGAATTGACAGATTAGTTTAACAATTAGTTCTGTGATAGGGATTTGCTAATTAGATTATATGGCAAATGTTTTTCATGACTTAAAATGTGCTAAGTCTGCCACTTCAAGGTTTTGAAGAAATATTTAAAGTGCATACAGGATATATGATACTTTGAAAATTACAGTTTTTGCAACTATTTAAAGTTATAAAAAATAGGTGTTATCTTAAAAATATGGAAAGGAACACATAGTCTTGTAAAATTTTCTTAGCAACTACAAACCAAATATTTTGAGGAACACAGCTCATCACAACAATATTGATACAGTTATATCTGTATTTTTAATATAATATATGGTATTTGCATATCACATGAAGTGTTAAGAGCTTTGGCCCCTTTCTGGGTGTAGTAGGTTTTTCTCCACCTCCCTTCCCATCAAATTATTCAACTGTTCACCTCCCTCCTGTCTTGCTCCTTAATGCATGCTGTCAAAATTTCCTTAAGCTGAGTTATAATCACTCATTTCCATCAAGGATACTAGGTTTCTGCTGTGACTCCCCCAGTTCCCTGAATAATACACAATGACATGCCTATACTCTTCTCCCAGATAGACACTATCTTCACCATTTCCCACAAAGCTGTCATGGCTTTTCCCAATCACAGCAATTTCCTACTCTCTAATGTCCACTACTGGTCATATTAAATCAGGGAGTCTGGTTTCATGCAAATAATCGTGGTGACATGCACATGCAAAGTAATAAACACCCTGCAAAAAATGGCAGTTACTTCTTTTTAATGGAGTGATCCTGGGCATGAGATGATTTCCCACTAACCTGAGGTATTTCTGCTAGACTGAGGCTTTACAGAACAGGACCAGGATACCCTGTAAGTGCAGTTGTTTCCATTTTGAACTTTAAGAAGATGGGTCCCCTCTCCTAAAGGAGTTGTCATCATCCCGGGCCCTTCCACTCACTCCTAGTGAAAATGTGAAGGAGGTAGCCCCCTGCAGCAAGGTTCGGAGTCTGTGGACACTGACGCCCTGAGGCTGTGTTGGCCACCCTAGGGGTGTAGGGGTGGTGGAACTGAACTTCGGAATCTTCCCTACTGAGTAAGGCTACTCTCGGCAAATGCATATGCCAAGAGGAAGATTTAGTAAGATTTAGTAAGCCTGGGGCACCTGGGTGGCTCAGTCATTAAGCTTCTGCCTTTGGCTCAGGTCATGATCCCAGGATGCTGGGATCGAGCCCCGCATCGGGCTCCCTGCTCTGCGGGAAGCCTGCTTCTCCCTCTCCCACTCCCCCTGCCTGTGTTCCCTCTCTCGCTGTGTCTCTCTCTGTCAAATAAAGAAATAAAGACTTAAAAAAAAAATTTAGTAAGCCCAGCCCTGAAGCAAGAATACTGCAGTGTAGCACAGATCATTTGAGTAAGGATTTAGATCTGATGAGCATAATCTAGTAATGATATTTTTTTAAAAAAAGGTTATTTATTTATTTATTTGAGAGAGAGAAAGTGCACCACAAGCATGGGAAGGGGTAGAGGGACAGGAGAGAGAGAATCTCAAGCAAACTCCCCACTGAGCCCCAGCCAGAGCCTGGGACAGGGCTTGATACCACCACCTGAGATCATGACCTGAGCTGAGATCAAGAGTTGGTGGTTTAACCAACAAAAGCCACCCAGGTGCCCCTGTAATGATATTATTGAAGAGTTATCACCAATTCCTTAGCAGAGGAACTAGGGACCGATATCAGAACCACATCTATGTAATCATTCATTTTCTCTCTGAACCCCTATCTTATTCTCTCTTCACCTTCCACATATGTGTGTATAAATATATATAACACAAAATTATATATATATATAATATATATACACAATTATATTTGTGCATAATGAAGTGTTATAACTTTTTACCCAGAATATGATCTCATTTGTCTGTTTTTCTTCATAAAGTTCCAAAGTAAAGAAATTGTAGTGCTTTGATATAATCTGCACTGGGTAGTTTCTACCATGATAATGGAGAGGATACAAATTCTTAACCCAGAATTTAAGTATCTTCCTTAAATTATTCTACCTGGGATTATGATTAACTTGAAATGGAACTTCTTTTGTAACTGAGGACACTGAATTGTGATCAGATTTCAAATATGAAATTAAAATTAATTTTAAGTGGATTAATTTTCAGATTCAGCACTAAAGAGTATGCTCAGATCAATGGATCCAAAGGATGTGCCTATTTTCAAAAAGGAAATATTTATATTTCCCGCTGCAGTGCTGAAATTTCTTGGATTTGTGAGAAGGCAGCTGCATTAGTGAAGACTGAAGATTTGGATTAATATGCTTCTTCCAGATTCACCGGATGTAAGGGACTTGTGGTTAAATTCATGTGAAGAAAGAGAAATCTCCCCTACTAGAGCCAAAAACAGATGAAAAAAATGACTGTGTATTCAAACCCATCAGGCAAATAAACTTCACAGAACATTCTCCACTTCATCGTCGATGCCTTCTGATCTGATGTTCTGGTTATTGTTGGGGACCCTGGGGAATAGCTCTTCTATGGCCCTATTATTCTATCTCAGCATCATTTCACTGAATTCCCTGTCTCGAATAAAAGATTATTTTCCTGCTTTGTTATTGCATATGCACAAGTGCACAGGGGGGATATGTAAATATTTAGCAGCTGGAACTGACAGAAGACACAGCACTGGAATGACATTCAGGAGACCCTGTTGTGATAGTGGTCTGGGGGATTTTGGGGTGGGGGTCCCGCTGGCTAGAGCAGCAGTATCGTGCCAAGTGATTTGGAAATATCTTAGTATCTTAGCAAATGGTTTGTAGCCATGTACCAGCCTTGTCATATAGGTGAAGTAGCGCATCATTTAGTATTTACATTCTCATTTATTTAGATTAAGTAAATCTTGAGGTTATTGTTGTGGTAATCTGGACATTATTAATAGAAGTTTATAATCTTTGCATTGAAATGTTATTTCCTTTAGAGAAATCCTAAAAAATTACTTGAAGATAGTAGAACCCATTATATTTTATTTTTAAGAACTTTCCTGTGGCACCTGGGTGGCTCAGCTGGTTAAGCATCTGCCTTTGGCTCAGGTCATGATCCCAGGGTCCTGGAATCGAGCCCCACATCGGGATCCCTGCTCAGTGGGAAGCCTGCTTCTCCCTCTCCCACTCCCCCTGCTTGTGTTCCTGCTCTCACTGTGTCGCTCTCTGTCAAATAAAAAAAAAAAAAGAACTTTCCTTTAACATAGTTGGTCAGTGTCCCTGCACTTTAGATGTCAAACCTTGTAAATCTAGAACTTGAGAGTTTTTCTGGGACAAAATTGCTGGTTTAAGAATAACGGTGAAGGAGTTTTCATTTGCTCCACATATAATTACATATCTATGTATAGGCTAAAGAAAACAGTAAACCAACCTGTAATACTGATTTGTCTAAATCAGAGATCTAGAATTTACTGGAAAAACTGATATGATCCAAGTTCTGAGCTAGGTGCATTTCAGAATATTTTGACAGTTCTTTAAAAGAGCATCACCATAGGGACATCTAGTAGTCTGTTACACTCTAAAGAATTAAAATTGTGAGCTAATGGACAATTTATATAAATACTAACAGAAAGTCTAGAACACAGGAATTAAAGTCTAATGTGAAAATCTGGTGAAAATTATAAGCAAAATATATTTAAGCACAAATTTTAAAATATAGATAATTATTTCATCATAGTTTAAGTGAATAGGCTTTACTAATTATCATACAGGACCCAAATATAAGTTACATATACACAGATTAAAAAAGAAACTTCATTCTTTAGTAGCTTACTGCCACTGTCATTCTCACAAAGATAAAATTATTCAGTAAAGGTCAACAACTCTGCACCTGACTCCCACACATTTGGGTTTTTCTTTATTCCCATGGGAAAGATCATTTCTTCTTTTATTCCTCTATTTCTAACCATAGACAGATCTGCTATTAATAATTAAAATATCTCTGTTGGTTATTTTGTTCCTATAAAGAGGTTACATGCTTCCCCCCAACCCCCGCTGGTATTTTGTATCTTTTCATTCTTCTCTCATGCACACTCTGACTTTCACACTCACTAAAGGAGAGAACATTTCTGTTTCTGACCTCAGAGTGGCTCTGGAATTTGATCAGATCCTATTGCTCATCCCTGCTTTCTTGCCATCATGATGTCATCCCTGGCAGCCTTTACACTGGATGAGTAAACCCAAAGGTCTTCTTGAGGATTCACCAAACTCTTTGCCGGAATAATTTAGCCCTTATTGCTTTCTGGTACCTTGGCTTATAAAACATGGCATATAACAAGAATTTCTTTCTCTCTCTCTCCACAAAATTTCTGGAAGATATCACACACACATACACTCACACACGGGCACAACACAAATGCATTGTCAAAATTCCTAGGGAAAGGCCATGTTTTGTATTTATTTTTGGATAACTGCCTTTCCCTCACTGGGGACTACTGTGGTTTCCAAACTTGTCTTCACGTAAGATTTACAGAGATAGGCCCCCTTAAAAGGACAGATTCCCGGGCTGCATCTCAGATCTGTAGATTCAATGACTGGAGGGCAAGACAGCAGAAACTGCAAGTTTCACAAAATCCATTGGTGATACTTAACTCAGCCTGGGTATTCGACCATGTTTGGCTAAATGACCTCAATGCTAGCTTCCTTGAGCAAGTATGTTCAGAGGCAAAGGTGGTGGAACCATCAAATTGAAGGCTCTTTCTTTTCCGCCTTTAAAAAATTTTTATTTATTTTTTATCTTTTTCTAGCTTCATTGAGTTATAATTAAAATATAGCATTGTATAAGTTTAAGGTGTAAAACACCATGATTTGATGTATGTATGTATTGTGAAATGATGCCCACAATAAGTTTAGTTAACACATCCATATCTCAGTGGACGGCCCTTTCTCCTATGTTAGCAAAATTAGTTTGGTTTGTGTAGGCCAAATTAGGTCAGGTAAGGTCAACTTTGGGTCAAAAGTAATTCAAACCTCACTTATTTCACTTTTGTAAACTTGTGCAACAACTCCTGAATGAGGAGATTGGTTGGGGTGGTCAGGGTAGACAGGTGATTCACAATTTGACCCATCTTGCTTTGTGGAAATAGTTTTCAAATCATGCTGTACCCTGAAATTATACTGAGGAGCTTTGAAGACATGTTGATGCCTGAGATTATGTCACCTCTTAAGACTCTGATTTAATTGATCAAGGGCGTGGTTCGGTTATTGAAAAAAATTTTAACCTACTCTTATGATTCTAATTTTCAGCTAAGGTTGGAAACCACTGGACTGAGAACATTCTAGTGACCGTTATGCTGATGCAGGTCTACCGTGTTGGCAAAATAGCCAACCCTCCATCATATATTAAAAGAGCAAGTGAGCTAGTCCCCTTGGTGAGGATTCCATGGCATTGGGACAGTGGGCATAGTGACTGTTATCTGAAGCTAAGGTCGATGGTATAATCGAGGCCACATGCTGAGCAGTTTATGTGTAATCATGCTTGTATACGTTTGCTTATATGTGGAGACAGATGTGAAGGACAAGTTTATAATGCTATTTTCCTCAGAGCAGTTATGATGATAGTAAAACTGGACAGGAAGAGGGCATAATTAACTTTTAAAATTGAGAATTCATTGTGAAGCAGAGAACTGAAGAGAGGGTCAAATTTAGCAAGGTGATCCCAAAGCAAATGTAATGTTTCATTCCTCAGGTATGTGAGTCTTGCTGAACCAGTAACTTGAAGTAATAACATGGTTTTTTTTTCTCTCCTTCAAGATATATAAAATATAAATGAAGTATATCTCCCCTCAGTACTCTCAAAATACATCTTAGCATGATTTTCAATAATCTACAAAGACTAGGACTAAAAGTAGAACACACTGGGGTCGAAACACACTGGTTCACACATTAAGCCATTTTCAATGGCCCAGCAGATCATTTCTAATTTTATTCTGTATAAACAATCTATGATCTTCTTTCAGTTTTCATAGTCATGGGCCTAGTGATCTTGAAGCAATAGGGCTAAATTAAATGGCCACCTCTAAATTAATGCTTGTTTTGTGGCTACCCAAAGACTCAGGAGAAAATCTGACATGGAAGGATATTTTTGACTATTTTGAGGACCAGAAGAACTTGGTATTTCTCTAGGAGATTTTCCTCTAATCTCTGTTTATAACGTGGAGATAGAGTGAGATATTATTTTCTCAACTTTCAGTCACTGTTAGAGGTGAGAGTGGTGTGTGTCCTTTTAGTTGCTTAGATATCCATAAGACACTGTCATAGGTGTAATACTAGAAGTATCTGGTGAGTGCTGTAGGTGGAAACACTGAAGAAGGATTGATAATGTAGCTTCGGGTGTATTCACCCCAAAGCTGCTCTGTGTTTTCTTCATGTTCTAATTACTTCTTCAGGTTGGGATGCATTTTCTATTTGTATATGCAAATGTAACTTCATTTTTGGGTATAAATCAAATCTGTATAAATAATAAAATAGTCTGTAGCTAATGTTCATGCTTCCCAGATCTGTCTGGACTGCCAACATTTTCTTAAAATTCCTAAAAGAATTGTGTGGATGACTGTGAAACCAAATGTGATATAATAATAATAATAAAACTTAAAAATTCAAATACTCTGAGGAAAAGGCCATTTATAAAATCAGGCGACACATTCTGAGAGAGGACAGGAAGATGAAGTTTAACGTCCCAGTTTTGGTACAGAGTTGGATGGTAGAACAGTCCACAGCACAAGTGGACATAATCTCCCAGTTCTCTGCCCAGCCCCTAGAATGGGAAAGTGTCCTTTAATAGAGCAGTGAGCTGACAAGGTAAATCTCTATTTTAAGGGCCAGAATAAATAGTTTCTGGGAAGCCAAACATCTATTTTTTTAAAAGCCACATCTGGAGAGAATGGGATGTCTTGCTTGGGATGTCTTAGGATGTCTAGGTGGGGATGTCTAGCTCGGGATGTCTTGGTGGTTTTCCATCCAGAGCCTCTATGATTATGCATTGCAGGTGCTGGTGCTTGGTTTTTGGGGGGAGAAATACAAGTCATGAAAGACCAGAGGAGGCTTCTAGACTGCACCAGCAAGAGGCAGTAGACTACCAGTGAGACCAGCCGGTGTGCACCAGCTGAGGAATTTGAAAGTTCTGTTGTTCGACATTCAGGATGTTTGCTCTAATTTTAATGAATTACCCCATAATCAGAGAAAGCATAAGCCAAGGTGATAGCAAAAAGAGCCACTTCTGGACTATTAGACTAAGAGCCATACTATGCACTGCTTTTAATCTCAGCCCTCAAAATTCCACAGTACTGAGCAAAGGCAATTTATTTGGTATGATAGAAAGAACTTCTAAATTCTTATTGGGTTAATTTGGTAATGATGACAAATCATGAGTTTCTGGT